GCTCGTGCGGGGGGCGCGCGGGGCGGCCGCGCGCCGCGCCTGCAGCACCGGGGCGCGCGCCAGGGCTCCCGCGGCCGCCGCGCAGGTGAGGGGGGCGAGGCCGGCGGGAGCGCGGCTTTGGGGCCGGGATACGGGCGGGCGGGGGGCGCTTGTGGGAGCCGAACCGTGCTGTGCCGTGCCGCCGCAGGTCGCGTTTGGGATTTGGCGTCCTGGGCCGGTGCCTTGTCCTTAAGAAGACGTAGTTCATGATGGGGCACTTGTGGTAACCGTGGCTGCGCCCGCCGGGGTGAGCGGGGGGCTTGAGCACCGCGGGCGGGGTGTGCCCGCGCGTTCCATAGAAGTGTAACCTGTCCGTAAAATTTTGCAACGTGTCCCGGGCTGTCCGGTGGCTTGTGCGACGAACATGACCTGGTTATGTATAGGGGGGGAGGGAAGAGTCAACAAAACGTGTAGTAATAGATAATTCTGTGTCCTTCTATTGTTGAAATGTCACCCTCACTTTGGAAGTACGTGGCTCACCCAGTCTCATGGACCGAGCTGGTTCTGTGCTCCTGCCCAGTCAAAGGAGAGATTACACAACGGAGTTTGGTGAGCTCAGGTCAAAACCCGAGTGGTTTGGCAGCTTTCGGTGGTTGTGCTCCCGTGGTCACACGAGCTCGCGCTGTTTGTTCCGGTCCTGGCGCGAAATCAACACAGGTGTTGCCCAGATACAGCTCCTGCCGGTTTAACTCTCGGTCCCCCAGGTGAATTCGGTCTCCTGGTGTCCAAATGCAGGAGAAAAAGCTGCACGCAAAGGTTCTGTAGCTGTCTAGCAGAAATAGGGCATGGCACGCAGAGTAAGCCCAGCTGGGACATGATTTATTGAGTTACTTGTGATTGCATGGATGGCTTTAACAAGCAGAAAATAAGCTAAAGCTACTAGTGACAGACTCTGTGTCGCCAGAATTGAATGCATTCACTGCCACTTACTTATTTACAGGAAGCCAGATGTATTTATGCGTTGCTGTATTGAATGCTTACTTGAGTCAGAAATCTAGAAAGGTTATTGGGTTTGGTTGGTTGGTTTGTTCTTCCTAAGCCATGAACATTTTTATAAATTCCGATCAGAAATACTTTTTGCTACTTTCTATAGATCTGGCAGCTCTAACAAACATTCAGGAATATTTTCGAGAGAGCTTGGTTACACCATCCATCTCTGAAAGCCTTACTCCCCTAGGGGACAAAAACCACAGTGACTGGAAGAACAGCATGGGTGATATGGGTTTGTGGCATCGTAACTGTGAGAGGTGTGCCAGGCCACTAGTGGCTCATACCCTGCAGGGTCTGAGAAGCAAGCAAAAACAAAGACACTGAAAACTTAGTAACTGTACAGTGATAATTTACTCATTGCTCCTTTCTGTTCTCAATCTCTCCTGGGATTCATCATTGCAGCCATAGGGGACAGTGAAACGTGCTTTCAAATGACAGGATGATCAAACATTCAAAATAATTGTGAATACTGCTTGACTGTCTTCTGTGCTAGAGCTGAAAGTATTCATGGGTTCTATTTAGTTTCATGAGATTTTGGAGGCGGGGTGGGTGCAAAGGGGACAAGAGCCCCTTTTAAAATGGTCATTCCAGCTGTGGAAGGAAGAACCCTATAACTCAGGAGCTTCAGGAAACAACTGGAAAGCTGTGCCCAAGGCCATCCATTGTAAGTCTTTAGTTTAGGTTCTAAACAGTGGGGTCTGTACAGTTGCTGTACTGGTATTGTGTGGTAAACGATTTGTTTCTATCTTAGTATTTAAGATACAGTTGTCAGTCTCAGATGTGCACAGGGTGAAGTTCCATTTTCTAAGACTAGAAAAGGGCAGGTAGCAACAGGCACTCTGAAAGCAGCATTTTCACAGTTGTTTGGTTGTGTGCAAGCGTGGTTTGGGTTTTTTTTTCTTTTTACTAATTTGCGATTAACAAAGAAAGTTGGATGCCACCCTGTCATCTTGTATGCCTGATGGTATATGTCCAAATTATATTTTTTAATTTAAATAAGTATGTAGGATGACCTATTTCTACTACAAAACTGTATTTTCCAGTACGCTAGAAAAAGTAATTTCTATTTATTTTCTTACTTTTTATTTTATTGTCAACTGGAAGTTTACTTGCAAAAACTCCAGCTTTTTGAAACAAAGGAGGAAGATGAGAGAACTCTTAGGATGGTGAGGCTTGGGAGCAATGACACTAAGGAAATTAGCATATTTTTTAAAAAATCCTACTCTAGATGTATCATGTCCAGTAAAGGTCTTGATACAACGTTTCACTTCCATTTTCTCCATCTGCTTATGTACATCCTGTAATCCAAACACAACCACCTGAAATTTTTTGTGGCCACAATGAAACCTTCACCACCAGGATGAAGTGGAAAGCCCAGCTTGCCCCGAAAGTCCTCATATGACCCTTATTGTCGGCCAGTCATGACTGAAGCTCTCTGTGTGCTGACGCTCCATTTTGTGGGTAGCTGGTCGCAGTCCCTGGGCAGTGCTTGCTGTGCCAGTACTCACAACTGTGGCATGCTGTTTGGGGTCAGCTGTTGGGCAGCAGATGCTGAGCCCTCAGACAAACATTTGTCTTGGAATTCTCAGCTTAGACCTCATTCTGGCAGTTGGCCTACTTAGACCCATTTCAACCTCTGTGGTTGTCTGATTTTCAGGTTGAACCAAGGACATTATGTCACTGCTTCCCTACAGACTGAGATACTAAAGGTGAGGCATGAAAGAGAAGAGCTTTAGCTGAGTTCTGTCCATGATGGTGCTGCAGCAGCTTTAGGTGCTACATTGAGGCAGCAGCACTGGGGCACAAACCCAGAAGGATTGCAGGAACTGAAAGAGCCAGTGGGTGCCGGGGGCAACACTAACAGTGACATCTGTACACAGGTTGTGGTAGTCCCTGAGGCCTGTGCAGAAGTGTTTGCAAGCATTACTGTTTCGTAGTGCACAAATATTACTGGGGATAAGGTGAAGGTGGAAGAGTAGAGCAAGGACAGTACTTGATCTTCAGCTTGGTTAATATATAAGAATTCTGTTCTCTGCCCCCTTGTGTTTAAATGAGCCTTTCTAGTATCTGTCAGTTTGTGGTGTTCCTGGTGGTTATTGATACCTCTGGTGACAGCTTCCAATTTTGCTGTATTGTTAGAAGAGTTTTGGAAATCACAGGTGAATTGGCAGGTCTGAAGGCTTGACAGCTTGTCAAAATATAGCTGCTAGGTGCAGTTATCTAAGCTCTCATTCTTTCAGTACTAGTATAGAACGTGATTGACAGCCCAGAGAGAGAACCTGTTTTTTTCATGGATCAGATAAAGCACACCGTGTGACAGGTCATACTGCTCCATGTGCAGAAGCGTCTCCTGTTGATTATGGAGAGAGGGGAGTGGAGACTTGTGGGTTATAGCCATCCCTTTTGAGTGAGAAAGTTATGTGGTTGGGCACTGATACCTATCTGCCTTTTCCTATGTCAGGGAACTGAAAAACCCTTTTCCTGTAGTCTGAGAACTGTAGCAGGCAGCTTTTGCTTTCCCTGCTCCAATGGCTCTCACACAGGCTGCAAGTGATTAGATTCAACCTCAACCTGTTCTTCCCCTTCAGAAAAACGTACTTACACAACAACCTGAGAGAATGTTTCGTCCTTGCCCTGAGTTCCCAGGAAGGCAGTTGAGTTTATATCTATGATATTTGGCCTTTTCTGTGGTATGGATAAAAATGAGTCAGTGCTGGGTGCAGTTTTGGTAATAGAGGATCCGCCTCTGCTGGAGCTCAAGTTAGTGCTACTGAATTCCTCATGGGTGTCTCCTAATTCCTCTGTGCTGACTTCAAACTGGACAGACACTGAAATAACAGCTTAAAAATTCCTTCTCCAGTCATTCTTCCCTTCCAGACAAGCCCATCTCTGTACACAACAAGAAGTTGATGGAAAGATGTTCTAGTAGCTTTGGAAAGCATTTTTCTTTTCCCTGTTCTAAAACCCGCTGCTTTGCAGCAGAGAGCAAAGTTAGTTATTTCCAGTAGAAACTTTAAAGTTTATTGACACCAACTGCCTGCTGAGTGCCTGTTCTTTTAATGCTGCTTCTTAACAGTTCACTTTAGAGTAATTAATGAAGGGCAGTGTTAGTCCTGTTATTTCCTTGCCTGTAACAGCCACACGGATGGCAGACCAGGAACAGAACAGGGGGGTGGCTCCTTCTGAAAACAGGAAATTGTTTTAAGCATCTTAGTGTCCTTGCAAGTATGCAGTTTTGGCTTCCATTATATACAAGCATTGAGATCTCCCTCTCTTGCCATCTTTCTGTCAGGAAGGACAACTTTTCATTTATTTCTCTCCCTGTGATGCAAACTCTAAAACTAGGAGACAGGAGGTTCATACTAATCTGTCTTCAGGTGGAGTGGGTAAGGATCCTGAAAAAGATGCAAACAAGAGTTATTGAGGAAGAAACAGGAGAGGAAAGCTCCTACAAAAAGGGTGCAGATAATAAGCATGGTAGTGCTTTCCTTCTCAAATGTGAACACCTTTCCAAAATAATAGGAAGGAGAATGTCAGAAATCCAACCACGCCAGAAAGCAGCACAGTTTTCAAGAGAAAAACTTTCATGTTGTGGTTTTTCTGAGTTTGGCAGATTTAAAATATCTTTAGATTTAATCTGTTCAGGGACGAGTTTTCTAACTGGGGAAGAAGAAAAAATGAAGTCTGGATATTTACCTGGGCTCTTTGACTTAACCCTGCTTGTATTCTGAGGAAACCCTCACAATAAGCGCAAGAGAGCCAGCATTTCTATCAAAGCAATGGATTTTCACCTTGGCCTTTTTTTGGCTTGCTGAAGAAGGAAGAGCTGAAAGAACACGTAAGGGTGAGCAGTGTGTGGCTGCAGAGGGATTGCCACTGACCCATTTGGTGCTGCAGTGAGGGAAGGCCAGGTCTGGGGAGGGCTGGCCTTGTGCCCCACACTGCTGTGCTGTTGTGGCCACTGCTTCTGAAACTGAAAGGGATTGCTTCCTTCTGGCAGAAAAGCCATTGCATGGAAACTTGTTCTGCAGTTTTAGCATGGGTAAACAGATGCTTTCTGGGGTTTGAAATAGCCACCTTCTATCTCCTTTATCTTCTCTAGCCCCCCCACTGCCATGGATGTTTTTAGAGATCTTATTTTACCCCAAAGCTGTTTGCATCAAGAATTGTAGAGGATTATTTAAAAGTTAGTGAAAAAATTGTGCTGCCAAGAACGACTGCTCCTGTAGTGTTAGCACAGCTGGAAACAAAATTGCTGCAGTTGCTGAAGTTGGGTCTCTCCCCAGATAACCTTTGCTGTCTGGCTGATTTGGTCACTGAGGGTCTCTCTGTCTTCCACCCACCACAAATCTTTCTTAAAAATGTTTTCAGAATAAAATGTTTTGAGGAAGCATACCTGGGTTTACTTTAGTTGACGTTTTCTAGACTTCTTGCAAGGGCTGTGTCACAGTACTGTGCAGGGTTAACTCCTATAGTTACTAGTAATGATCGGAGCCAGGGAGCTGATGTTCCAGCCCTGTGTGTTTCTGCCCAGTCCCTTGGCATTATCCCACACATGCTGATTTTAGTATGTCTGGGGATTTCACAGGTCTGTTTTTCACTAGATGTACGTCATGACTTTTGCTTAGGTAAGCAGTTTAAATACCCATTTGTCTGGTTCCTCATTCTACATCTTAAGTTTATGTCAAAACTTTATTTAATCCTTTGCCTGCTGCAGCCTATCAAGACAAGTTAGCATGATTTCAACTTGAGGCACAATTCTGCAGCTGATTCACACACACACATACACACACTTTGTGAACACCATGTATACAGAAATGGGTTTTTATGTGCTTTTCGCTGGAGATGAAATTCGCTGTATGTTCAGGAGTTGTTTAGCTTTCTTCTAGTTTTCTTGGCTGACTATTAGATGTCTGTATGTGGTAACTAACAAGGACCCAGTGAAGGTGCTTCCTTTAATTATTTTGTGTTCTCTGTTTTGTTTTGTGATGTTAGGCAGCTGGCCTCTATCATGAGTTATTAAATTGGCCTCCTATAAAATGTTAATTTAACTGTGATGTAGTAGATAAAAAGACTTGGCAGGGGTTGAATTATGTCGTTTGTAGATGTTTGTATGTAGTGCCTGAACCAAGCTGATAAAAGTATAATGGTAAACTTTTGCTTTTCTGCAGTACTGTGATAAGAGTTGGTTCAGTTAGTGTGTTTTACTTAGGGTATCAAAATGTTTTCCAAAAGTAGCAGAGTGGTTTCAGCTGTGCTTTACAGGTGTAGAAAAATAGAGCTATAACATGGTAATTTGAAATTCATGGGCTAAAGGCAATGCGACTCCCTCTAACTGTTGCTATAACCAACAGTCTTCTGGCATTGATGGTACTCATGTTTTTAAGTTATGTGGTATAAACTGTATTTGTTTGCAGCTACTAATTTAGGATATTTATTTTGATACCTAATGTGATCGTAGAGTCACAGAATGGTTTGGGTTGGAAGGGACATTAAAGATCATCCAGTTTGAACACCCTGCCATGGGCAAGAACACCTTCTACTACAACAGCTTTCTCAAAGCCCATCCAATGCTTCCAGGAATGGGGCATCCACAACTTCTCTGGGAAACCTGTTCCAGTGCCTCACCATCCTCACAGTAAAGAATTTCTTCCTGATATCTAAGTCTACTCTCTTTCAGTTTAAAGCCATTCCCCTGTGTCCTGTCACTCCATGCCCTTGTAAAAAGTCCCTCTCAGCTTTCATGTAGCCCTGTTTAGATACTGGAGGGTGCTATAAGGTCTCCCCAGAGCCTTCTATTCCCCAGGCTGAACAAACCCAGCTCTCTCAGCTTGTTTTCGTAGAAGAGGTGCTTCAGCCCACTGAGCATCTCTGTGGCTTCATCTGGTCTTGCTCAAGCAGGTCCACATCTTTCCTATGCCCTCATTCTAGAAAGCAAATACTCATACTTCCTAAAAGTTGTGTTTCTCTAGAATATATTACATTGCTTTTTAAGAAAACCCCAAGATTGTAAATAGAAATCACTTTTAATATTCACTTCATGACAGTTAATAAAGACATTATTAAAATTCTGAATTTTATGCAGGTTGAATAGGTGTTCAGAATCATATGTTTCTCTTCCAGTTTCACCATGCCCTGTATTATTTATCATCTTTTAACAGAGACAAGCTTTTTGGAAGTACTGTTTTATATGGGTTTAGACAGGAAGACCTTGTTGGAAACAAGACATCGTGAAACATAATTGTACATAGCAATATTTCAGTTACGTCTTGCACATGAAAGTTGGTAGGAACACAAGCAGAGATGGCAGTGTTTCATTGACTTCTAGTTCTCTTGTGCTGAAGTGCAGGGAGGACCTCTTTTACATGATTTCATTTACCCCAGGGGTTGTAGTGAGATAGGGTGGTCCTGGACCATTGATTCTGGAAAGTGAAGAGACAGGCAACTGAAAAAAACCCACAACCTCCTGTTATGCACAAAAAACCTGAAGCACCTGTGGCAAAAAGGCTGTATCTTGAAATGCACAGGGAAGATTGTAGAACAGTTCCATGGAATTAAGTAGTGAGAAAGTTAATCAATAAATGGCCAGTTTTGATCATAAAGACAAGTCATGGGTTTTTGCTTGTGCAGCTGTCCCTGTGGGGAAAAATGGAATAATAATTATCAGTTCAGCTCAAAGTTAATATTTATACAGCAAGTTGACAGGGTGACTATTCAAATATTTAACACTTGCTTGTTTTCGTTACAGGAATTGCAAAGCCCAGGAAGAGGACGCTTTCTACTGGAACATGCTGCCCCCTTCTCTCCTTTTTTGACAGACAGCTTTGGGCGTCAGCACAATTACTTGCGAATTTCTTTGACTGAGAAATGCAACCTCAGGTGTAAGTGTCTGCTGGGTTCTGTGAACAAACCTCTTATGCCCATATTATGTAAAGGCCAAGACTTGAGTTAGGGTGTTATTGCTGTATTGGCCTTGTGCTGTTTCTTGTCTTCACAAAGTAATAATAAACGACAGATAGACTAATTTGGGCCTGAGCTGCTGGTGGGATGAGGGACCAGGAGCAAGCCTAGGGATCTTCCAGTGTCAAGTGGAAGTGACAGGTCTTTTGTCAGACTTGGTGTGGTTGGGATAATGATGCTTGTTTGCTATACCTCAAGTGTGTAGTAAGTAGGAGAGCTCATACCTAGACATTCCCACAATTGCGACTGCAAAGTTTGTGGCAATGTCCCAGTGCTTGCCAGTTGAATTTGGTGTCTGTGTTTGAATGCAGGTTAGGTAAAAATAAGATCAGCTTTTCCTTCAAAGTGGATCCATTGTAGTTTTGAGACACATCAAATGAGTCTTGGATTTTCTTCTGAAGGAAACCAGGAAAGTGTTAGGAGATTGCTTGTAAAGTTTTGCAAAATTGGTGTCATTTGACATCCATTAAAGACAGCTGCACTTGGTGCATTTTGCTTATCAATATTAGATTAATTGTTGCTGGTTATTTTTTTCCCCCATGTATTTCTGTAATCTGTTTCAGGTCAGTACTGTATGCCCGAGGAAGGTGTTAAGCTGACTCCTAAATCAGAGCTACTAACTGCTCAGGAGATAATCACCCTAGCCAGGCTGTTTGTGAAAGAAGGTGTAGAGAAGATCCGCCTGACAGGTGGAGAGCCACTCATCCGTCCCGATGTGGTTGATATTGTGGGTGAGTTCCAAATCAATACAGTGTGTTTCAGAGTGACTTGGTGCATATTGATCCAAGAATTACACTTATAGCTATCTACTAACACAGTCCAGCAACTTGAAGAACAACTATTTAATGATGGCGCTTTTTCCCAACAATGCAAGATAGTTCCTTTCAGAAAACTTCCAGTTCTGCTTTGCTGCTTGAATGGAATTTCTCTCTCTTTTTATTGCAACCACTGAACTTAGCATTGTTTTCATATTCAACATTTATCAGACTAGTTTGCAATAATGCAGCCTTAGGGTGAAAAATCAAGAACTGATGTGACCAGGTCCTCACTGGGAAGGAACAATTGAGATTTTCTTACAAACAAAACAAGCTGTCCTTTTGATTTTGAAGTGGGTTGTTATTTGTGGGTTTGTTTTGTTGCCTTGATAACAGATGTCACTTGCGTGTCTAATAAGGAATGGTGGAAATGCCTATGTTTTTACAGCTATTGAGGAAGACTATTACTTCAATGGAAAGTAAATTACTGGGTAATTTTCAAAACTCTGTCTCCTTTGATTGGTATTGTGTTGGCTGACCGTGCCTGGTTTTTTTCTTGAGCCAGGTGCTTTTCTGCTCTTTCCAGAGTCTCGTATGTTAAGAAAATTGGAATAGCTTCATATGGTGTCAATGTATTAGATTAAGGCTATGTAGGTGGCTGCACTTTGGTGTATTGTAGACAACTGAACTTACTGAGTTACTTGGGAGTTGGTAAAAGGCTTTCTTATGTTCTCTTTGAACCTAAATTTAGTCCTATTTGTTAAACTTAACCGAATATAAAATTCAATGTCTTTCAAGGCAGAAGGCTAATGTAAATAATACATATTTGTATGATTCCAAATATGCATAAATACTTGTACTAACTCCCAGGTTACATTTGGTTAAGTTTCTCGATCGAGAAAGATATCTAAAAAGGACAAAAGATGAATTTGACAAAAATTAAACTAGCAATACATCTTATACAATTTTACCAGTAAGTTGCTCATATAAAAGAAAATTACACAAACAAGTTAACAATTAATGTCACGACAAGCAATTTTGGGAGTAGGGGAGCACAAACACAATGTTTGTGGTAGGTTTTTACATAGTGCAAAATTATTAGGATCATAACATTTTTAAGATAAAATGCATGCAAACAACCAATGTGGAAAAACAACAAAAAAACCCCAAAAAACAGTGTAACTCTTCAGTCCTGTTGTCAATTCATGTTCTCATATGACAACGAGAATTAATGATAGCAGCGGTAGAAGGCTTTATCGGTCTCCTCTGCTGGTAGGTTTCTGTAGAAAAAAAAAGAAATCTGGCCCACTACGGACCTATTATTAAAAAGAAGGAACTATCTATTTATCCAACTCCTTTTCTTATCTGGCATAATGTCATTAGGGAAGTAAAAATAGAGAAGTTTGGAACATGTTTTTTCCAAAAAACAAATAAACTCAGAGCATGCTGGAACTCCCTTTTACTCCTCAGCATCTTTATTTGCTCTAGGGTGGCCAAGGTGTCAGGGGGAATACACACTGCTACTTTTTCTGTGGGAATTTGAAGTCTCAGACTTTCCAAGTGGGTGATAGTACTTGTCTGAGTCTGGTCTCCTGTGGTGACATCAGCAATCTGGGTAATCAGTTCAGTTTTGTTATATACAGCAACTGTTTGTGAGCCAGTGTCAGCATCGAGGTAACTCACTGGCAGCTGCCACTGCCCATGAGGTTTGTGGACAGGCCATACAGGAGAACTGTATGGTGAGTGTATGGGGACAACTACCCCTTGCTCCTGCAATTCTGCAATTTCTGGGGTAATGTTTTCACGTGTTCCTAAAGGGAGTGGGTGGGGGTTTACATTTGTTATTTTAGAAGGAGGCAGACTTGGAGCAGTTTGCAACAGACAGACAGAGGGGGATGGGAGACCAAACACCCATTCTCTCCCTCTGGCGTCTGTCCAGGCTCACCCCTTTAGTAGATCTAACCCCAGGATGTTAACTGGTAATGGCCCCACAATCATGATAGTTTCTGTGGCTCTCTCATCTCCAGGTAACCAGCATTTCACCTGAGCAGTGTATTGGGGTTGGGATTTGCCAAAAGCATCACATACCCATATCTTTTTTTGGTCTGGCTTAATGCCACACTGAGCAGCAGCTTCAGTTTGGAGTGCTGAGACCTGTGCACCTGTGTCTACTACGAATGTAACTAAAGATTTAAAAGGGCCGAGAGGAAAAGTAATTACCATATCTCCCTGGCTGTTTTCTGTGAGCCTTCTCTCATAAACCCACTGGTCATTTTTTGGCTTATTTATTTGAGAGCAGTAAGTCCAGTTTCTTGACTCAGAACTGGCCAAACTGGTTAGTCCGGTTTCTGGAGAGGCTGAGGGGATCACAGTGTTGGACTCCTTAGGGGGGCTGTCCCTAGGGGGTGATTTGTGCTCTTTGATCTTATCCCAGTGTTTTATCAAGTATTCCAAATTAGCAGTGGGTAATTTGTCCATCACTTCTCCAGGAATTCCTTTTGCAACACCCTCCACCCACAAACTGTATCTCTTTTGCCCACTAGATGACCCCTTTTGTTGACAAATACCTGGTGAGGGAGGTTTTTGGACCTTCCCTGCCCTCCTGCTATGTGTTCTCTGGTCACTTGTACCAGAAAGCCCCAGCTACTGGCCAGTAATTATTAATTCTTGGGCTATCTCCAACCAGGTTATCCCTGGTGGAGCACCCCTTCTTCTAGGTTTGGGGGTTGCCTTTATGCGCTCCTGTAATTGTTTAGCATGGGACCCCTGGTGGCCTAGTGGTTAGCATGCAGGACTCTCACTGCTGCGACCCAGGTTCGATTCCCCGGTCCCCCGGGCAGATGGAGCCCGTTAGCCCTGTGAGGCCATCCATCTATGAGAAGGTCACTCTAAACAAACCTACGTCCTGAGGACCTCACTGCCATTGTCCAAGCTTGCTTGGCCCCGGCAGATGAACCTTAGGATTAAAGGGTGGGCTCAGTTCAGCGCATGCTGTGTCTCACCTAAAAAATCCATTGCGCAGGCTTGAAAGGTAAAAGACCTTTCCCAAAAATCTTCGTTCGCGAAGACTGGCCATTAAAAAAAATTAAAATTGTTTAGCATGAACTTTTAGTGCATTAGGCAGACCTCAGATTAAGACCGGAAATCTCTCTGGATCTGCTTCGAGTTCCATTGGGGAATTTCGTTGTGGGTCTAATAATTTTGTGTGCATTAATTGGAGACATGCGGTTTTTTGTACACTTTTTACAATGTGGCCAATTGTGGGTGTTTTAATCGCGTGAGGATCTCCCCTTTCTATAGGGTCTAACCCTCCTGCCTAGTAGGCAGCTCTCTGGGTCAGGGACCACGGGGCTCGGTTATCATTTGTGGTCAGGAAAACTCCTGGGCCCCAAAATCCTCTGGCCTCATCCTCACTCAACAAAATCCGATCCCCCCCCGGTAAGGGACACTCTCCACACATATTCAGTTTCTGATTCACTGGCCTTACGGCTGTATTTTTCCTGAATTTTGGCCAGTGCTTCCCCCGTGTACGGGGTAGTCCGTGTGGTAGTTTGCCGATCTGCCCCTTGGCCAGTGGTTTCAGTTTTAATGAGAGGACGCATATGTATTACTTCGTCCTCCAGATAACTTTGCTTAAACTCTTCTAATTCCCCAAAGGGGTACAGGGATTTGTTAACATCCATTGGTCTAGGGTATTTTGAATTGATGTCTCGTGATTCACAATTTTTCATTTCCAGCATCCTTTTAAGCCTTTCATTTTCCCCTTCCTCATCTTGCAGGGCTGACCGAAGCAACAAGTTAATATCTCTCTCCCCCCGAAGTGCCTCACGCTCAGCAGTTAACTGCAAGCGTTCTTTTTCTAATTGTTCCTGTAATGCCTTCATTGATTCCTGAAGAGATCTTATCACCTCACCCATAGATCTCTGAATAGCCAATCTTTCCTTTTGAACTGTTCTAAAGACAACGCCCAAAACAGCACCTACCAGAAACAGTCCTAAACCAAGGACAAACATCAGGAGGGAATAATCCCCATATAACTCAACCAGGGGTGTCATCCCCTTTGCCGCAATCATTAACCCAGCTCAGGTTAATGTCTTTCTCCCCCTTAACCCTCTGAGGGTCTGCTTGACTCTCCCCTGGAAAACCTTTCAACAGGTCCAGGTACCAGAGAACCTTTCAACAGGTCCAGACCACACCAGGAAACGTTTCAACAGGTCTGATGTGCCCGGGTCACACCGAGAGGAGAAAAATTCTCACTATAATTTTACAGCGAGGGGACAGTCACCATTTGACTCGCCCTCGGTATCAGTTTTAGACTACACCGATTACTCCACCACATCCAAAGGATCCTGCTGACTACGCCAAAAATGTTACGACCCGCCCCAGGAAAAGGGGAGGGGGGGTAACTCAGGTTTTTAATCAATACTTCCCTTGGGGTGGATTAAAGCGAAACGACACTAAATAATCGGTGTCTGGAAACATATATTGCCAAAATTTATTTTAACAATTTTGCATCATCAGGTAAGCCAGCGTTTTGGGTGTTGTCATATAACGATGCAACATAAAGATAACCTTTGGGGGGGGGAAATGCACAGGGGAGAGAAAACAGGATAAGAGTAAAGAAAAGATGAGAATGAAAAAGAAATGTATATAGTCACCGCCCACTGGATCCCGCGATGCAGCTTGGCAACCTTGAGAGCGATGGTCACTCACTGAAGTCAGCAATGCAGCTTGGCAACCTTGAGAGCAGTGGTCACTCAGTGGATCCAGGAATGTAGCTTGGTAATCTTGAGAGCGGTGGTCTTGATCCGCAGGCGGTGGGGGAGAAGGAAAAACCCCCACACTCCAAGGAGCTGTGAGTTATTATATCCATGATCAGTGTCACGGGCCATGTCTCAAGCCTCCAGCCTCTCCCTGGGCTTGCACAGAGCTTCCGGGTCTGGCCTGGTTCCCGCCTTTTTAAGATTGGCAGAGAGGGGGGGTGGGCCCAGCTGCCCATCTGAGGTATCTTCTTGCCTTTTTAGGGTCCAACTGTCCATCTGAGGTATCTTCTTGCCTTTTTAGGGTTCAACACCTTCAGCTCTGAAGGGAGGGATGGGCCCAACTGCCCATCAGAGGCATAATGCAGAAGTCAAAAGCCTGCAAAAGTCCCTTGGCAATCCTAGAATGCATAAATCATTAACTATTTCAGTCTCTGACAGGTACCAACTCTTTTTCTCTGTTGTTCTGAGGTTGAGCATTCTGTGCATTCTGAGACTATAAACAAAAGTAGTGATGTTCCTGCACTATCCTTTGGCTGCAGTGAGTATACTATGCTCTCAAAAAGACTAGGCTACTAGGGGTAGCTAGTAGCTAATCTGTGGCAAAATTGGGCCAGTAGCACTTATCCTTTAGTAAGCAGTTATTTTTGGTCATTTGGGAGGATTTTGAGAGGTGAATGCCAGAAAGAAGGCATTTCTTGGTAAAGATTGCTCTTTTCCTTATAACCAAAGTTTGCAAATGTCTTTATGGAGCTCTTAGTCATGTTGCAAAATGCTGCTGCTGCTGTAAGCTTCAGCATTTTTGCTTTGACCTGGCTTGTCCCACTGCAGAACTCTGGGCCCAGCTTAGAGTGAGTATTTTGAGAATAGCTGGGAAATGCAATAAAGCAGAAGTAAAGCCCTTGTCAACATGAACAAATAGAATTGAAATAGTGAGGGAAGAAGGAACTATGAAATATTTGTGCTGTAATTACAGCTGCCTCAATAGTAAGGATTCTTCAAATATTTATTAAATAATTAGGGTGGAGGCTGTGGGAGAGGAAGGGAGGAAAAAGTATTTTGCTGTGGCTCTGCTTCTGCAAGTTGTTTTTGAGGATTTTTTCCTGTTTGTTGTTGTACTGATAACGGGAGGTTTGAAAGCCTGCCCTCTGGAGATCTGGTTTGCCGAGGATTTCTGCATTTGGCTTATGAGAAGGCAGCTATTTTCTAAATCTTAGTCTCATGATATTAACTGTTTCTTATGCTGTTTTCTTTTGTTAGCCATTTTTTAGTATCTTGCATAAGTGCCCTCCAGTTGGCTGGGCTACCTCTGTGGGTAATGGAAATATTTCAGCTGTCAAGTGCAAGTGTTTTGTCCCTTGGATGTTGTTGCCTTGGATGCTCTGTAATAGTCTAATATGTTGACCTTTTTCTGTTTCGTTAGGACTACATGTGGTATTTCTTTCAGAAGTTTAAAGTTACTACTGCTGGCAGCTATCTCTGGGTTAGAACTGGTTTTTGGTAAAGCATTGTAGAATAAATGTTGCTAAACAAACACAGCTACTTCAGGTGTCAGATGTGAAAGGGATGGCTTGCTGCTTATTATCATTGCAGAACATAAAATTCATTTTGCAAAGCTAGACGAGGAAAAGAAGGTTCATAAAATCAAAGGCCTTACTTAAAAAATAAAGTAACTATTTAAGAAATGGAGAACAAAATTAGTGTGCATTTTGATAAAACAGGACTTCATCACCCATTTCACATGCAATAAACTGCTCTCTCATACATTTTGAAATGGATTTGTGTGAAAATGGTTGTCTTCAACCAGTATGGCTGGAAGGATGCTGAAACACTGAAGTGTCCATGTTTTCCTCACACCTTCAGTGATACTTTTTTGTTTCACAAATCTTTTGGGGTTTTGGTGTAACTTACAGTTGAATTACTTCTTTTAAAGTGCTCATTTTTCTTTTTATTTCCTAGGTCAACTGTACAAGCTAGAAGGGCTGAAAACCATTGCTGTCACAACCAACGGGATCAACTTAACCAGACTTCTGCCCCGACTGAAGGAGGCAGGACTGAATGCCATTAACATTAGCCTGGATACTTTGGTCCCAGCTAAATTTGAGTTCATTGTCCGAAGGAAAGGTACAAACTTATCCTCTAAGGCAACTGTGTTAATACCTGCAAGAATGTTCCGAGTTGTCTGGTGTATCTTTCACACTCAGTTACATCAGGAGGGGAGCGAATTGCTATCCTTCTGGGGCTAGGAAAAGTAGTCTATAGTAGCTTACTCAATAATGACTCTTTTCCTTCTTTCTACAATGCTTAGGCAGGTAGAGCCCCTTCAGTTGGAGCTGGTGAAGTAGAAGATGTTCAACTCACCAGAGTCAGTGGGACTGTGACTACAGCAGCCAATAGTAGCTGGCACTGTGACTGGTTAGTCATAGATCTCAAGAGGACTCTCCAAATCTTGTGTTGGTCTTGTGTGCTGCCCTTCTTTCATACTGCTCACAAAACCAGATATTCCTCCTATAGCAGCTGGGGACTAAGATGCCCCAAGAACTGAACTTCTCGTCATGAGTAGTGGCCTGTTCTGGAAGTTATATTTGGGTGTGCTAGCAGTGGTCTCACTTGTGGTTAGTTATGTTCCCTATCTCCACTACTTTTTAATAGGGATAAACATAAACCATGCCTGAGGTAATCTGAGGAGGGCTGCTAGCTTTGTAACTTCTCTCCAACTGAGCAAGGAATTCCACACGAAGTTTCAAAAATGCTTGGATTTGCCCACTCTTACAGATTCTTGTCCAGTCTTACAGATTCTTGCTTAAATGAATCCTAAAGCTCATCATGGAGTTCAGCTTCATGGTTGGGCTATCTTCCGAACTAAAACTGGTAGGATCTTCTGTCATTCTCTTTCAGTCCTGTAATGTAACTTCGGTGGTCTGTGAACTAATTCAGACAAAACCTCTAAGTAGCCACCAGATGGTGCAACAGCCTAAGACAGATGTAGGGATGTAGAAAACCTGGAATGCTGTGAGAAGTAATGTCAACATTTGAATCACTGCTATCAAATCGAAGTTCTGCTGGCAGGTGCAGAAAGGCTCTCTCTAGGAGCACTACTTCAGGTTTCTATATCATGATGCAGAAATCTGTTCCTGTCATAAATCTGACTGGAGCATTACCCTTCCAGCATAAGCTGTTGCATTAATCTGGTTGTTTCAAGGCAGAATTGGCCCCCAGAGTGGTATCTGGGAGTATCTAATCACAAGCAGGTGTTGACTATGCTCTTTCCTTCTGCTCTCTGCATTTGAATATTACCTAGTTTGTGACATTCATTAGAAACAAGCCCTTTTGCTACTGAAGGGGCAAACCTGAGCCTCCAGCTCCTGAATTATAAGGCCATAGCTCTTCATATCTGATTGGAAGCTGCTAGGAATGTGCTGGTTATAAAGTAAACTGAAAGTTATTAGGGGATGTGGGTAATTTTTATTTGTATAAATGTTCTCTTCCTCTCTATCTCCCTTAAATAAAAAGGATCTTTAACAACAAAGAGAGAAATTGTTCAACTGAACAGCATAGAGAATGAACAGGGAAGTTTCTATTACTCAATATTTTTAAAGAGGAGAATATAGTCTCCAAATTATACTTTTTTTTTGGAATTGGAGATCAGGTAAAAATAGTAACACTGAGTAATGGGGTTTTTTTCTTTTCTTTTGTTAGGGTTAAGGGCTGAAATGATGTAAAAATACTTTTTTATTGTTTGGGGTTTTTTAAATTATTATTATTGAGGGTTTTTATTTAATAGGAGATTTCCAAGTATGGAATGAGCAGAGAATAAAGTGCCTGTCCTACTGTGCTACCCTGTCTCCTGTGGCAGTTCCAGAGGCAACAAGATATAGCTCTGTTAAGGTGAGAGGGATTTCTGGTCTTGGACTCCTACAGGCTGGTAACTTCTCTGGAAAGTAAAGGTGTCATCTGATTATGGAGCTTATCAGGAGCTCAAGAAAATTTGAATCAGTTTTTCCGCTCCACTGGAAAGTCATTCTAGGCTTTTAAGAAAACATTGAAAATATGTATCTTTGGTGCAAGTGCCCTGCATTACATCTGCTCTTACTTCGAAATAGTTGGGATAGAGGAAATGACTGAGATCACCAGAGATTTCAGTGATGTCTGAAAGCCCATTAGAGGACCATAATGTTCCTACTTCTTCCCATCTACCACATTCTAAGGAATAAACAAATGAAAAGTGCTTGCTTCCAGGTAGCCAGTCTAACATGTTTCATAGACTGTGCCTTCTTTTTTTGTTCAGTACAAGGAAAATGAGATCATATTGTACTGTAATTGTATCCTTAAACGTTGGCCTGAAGTCTTTCTTGTTTTAAGGATTAAATGGTGGGAGGTGTTGTTCCACATAGGATTGTTCTGGATGGGTCTAAGGTTCTCTGTCCTTCAAAGTTGGCTAAAGTTTTGATTTCAGAAGAAATCTAATATGATGAAAATATTGAAATGTTTCATTGGGCAGAAGAGGAGAAAGGTTGTCATTTTGAAATATCGAACAAAAACTAGGCAAACTTCTGCAACTTGACAACGTTTCCCAACACAATGACATCTAGTATTCATTTCTGCTCTAATATTTTGAAATATTTTGATTTTATTCTTTTTGTTGTTCCATTGCCACACAAAGACTTTGATTCAGAAGGGATGTTTCAATAAGCATGGCAATACAAGCAAACTAACAGCTTTTCATAGAGAAAAAACAGAAAGCATTAACATGAAAATAGGAAATGCAATAACAGATTTTTAATTTTTTACTGTAACAGGTTTTTGTTTTAAATAATCACCCTGCCCCAAAAATATTTTAGTGGAAATAAGTTCATAGTTGTTATTCAGAACAGCTAGATTTTTTGTTTGCTTGTAGAGATTTTTGAGAGTTTTTCTAAACCACACTCATGTGCTAGCATGGCAGGAGGTAAGAGGCAGACCTGGGAAGGTCAGAGTTAGATGCATTGCAAGATGTAATCCTGTTCAATACCTCTGCAGTGAGCTGAGCCCAAGCATGAGAGGTTTCAAACATGTGGAGGTTTTGATCTGTGGCTTTCCAGTGGTTGCTTCTGGCCTTTTTAGTTATGTTCAGTTTCACCTTTCTGCAATCCTGAGGTTACATGTAAGATTTTCTGAGTAGTTGGAGAGACTTTTGATCCCATTCGTGGCTCTGGATTGTGCTTACAGCAGTGTATCATTATGTCTGTTGCCACATTCTGCCTGCAAACTTGCTTAATTGGAATGAGATCTACCACAGGTGCTGCAAACTTCCTGGGCACATGCACAAGTAGGTAATGATTGAGAAGGGTGACAAGTCGTAACTTCAAACAGTTGCTTGCAAGAGTTACTTCACTGTCTTCTCTGTGCTCTTCACCTCTCTTTTTGCAGCCAGGACTAGCATTAGGACTGGCTTATAAAACGATCATATCTTCTGCTTTTCTGTGCCCACGCTTTATAATGTCTTTACCAGCCAGAGAGCAGTTAAGTGAAATATTTGTCTCTCTCCTTTTTTTTTCCCTGACTTTAAACTCATCTAATATTAAGTATGCACAGAATACTGTTGAGTTATTGCCTATTTCTGCTAAATATCTACAGACTAAGGAACGTATGATCTCTTCACTAGAGAATCTGAGTCTCCAGTAGATAATAGATAGGGAAAGGTGGGTGATGGACCTATGCAGAAAAACATATGACTAGGAACAGCGCAGGGATGGTCAACACAAACTTCTGGAACATTTTGCCCTTTTACTAGCATGTGTAAAATATTTTGCTGTTGAAGACTGCAGCTTTGGAAGAAGGAGCGTAGTCTCATGCAGTGTCTGGTCTCTCATACCTGAGTTTCATGTGCAGAATGGGAACGGAACTTAGTCTAGAACCTGACAGGGTAGAAGAGACATTCACAAACTCGGTGCTGACACCCACTGTGCAGCCAGAGCTCAGTAGTTTGCTGTCTTGTTCTTGCTACTATTCACTTTTGTCCTCTACCACTTGGTGAGTGTGTCATGGAAGGAATAATATGTCAAGTCTAAAATTATATTTTTGTGAAAGGTCTTAACTACACAAAGTTGACAGAAGGGGTGGTTTGAATGAGATAATTAAGAGGCTTTCCTAAAGGACTTTGGAATTTCAAAACTGCATTGTTGCTTTATTTTTCTTCCAACTTTAAGAGGTAAATGTAGGGGCAAAGATACTTGCCCTGAGTCAAATATATTTTTTGTGTCTGAGAGAAGCTGAAAGGTGTAGGCCACCAAACGGTAGGATGAAGCTAGGCACTTCATTCCTTGATGTTACTGTAGTTTTTGACCTCTTTCATTTGTTTTTGAGGATCAGAGGCCAACTGAATTTCTTTCCTAAATGCTCTAATCCCTGCCATGTTTTGCTCACTAATTTCCCATGTTTAGTCATAAAATGATGATCCTGTAAAGTGTTGCTTGTGATCTTCAGACTAATGGATAATCAGTAGCTTTGGGAAGCCAATTACATCTGTAGCCAGGGTTGAACAGGGAATGAAGGGGCTTTTGTTTGTTCCTAAACCCATTCCACTCCACATGCACTTTATAAAAATCTTCTTAAAATTCACTTAGCAATATTGCTATCTGATTCAGAACAGTGAGATTCTGCCATTGCAGCAAAGACATGAGCCATTACTATAAAATAAACATTAATTTATTATTCTTTCTTCATTGCGTCTGGAAGTAGTTCATAAATTCTTTCCACTTCCTTTAAGAAGAACGTAACAGAAGGAAAGTTTAGGGGGAAAGCTGGGGAAGTGGAGAATGTATTATGCTAATAATACATGGATATCCAAAGATGCAAAAAACTGTACAAATATTGTTGATTACTCAAATACCAGTTAAATACTGATCTTGGTGACGTGAGCACAGTAACAGTGGTAGCTTTGGGGGTTGTGAGGGTGGGGTGTATATATAATAGAAGTCTACTTATTTGCAGCTCTTCCTACTTGCAGCCCTGTCTGCTGAATCAGATCGGTTTTATGTGTCATCTCTTTGTCTTCTACTTAATAAACTCCTTTTGCATTCTGGTTTTAAACAAGGAAAATTATTTTTCATTCTTTTTGTATTTTAGGCTTTCACAAGGTAATGGAAGGAATCCACAAAGCCACTGAACTTGGCTATCGTCCTGTTAAGGTAAAGCCAGAGTTTATTTTCTCTGAAACTGTTATGTTTTACCATACATACAGTTCACCTGATGAGGAATTTATTACATTCCACCCCATTAATAATTTTTTGTAAAACTGAAGAAAAATTTAGTAGATTGAAGATCACACCAAGAAGTAACAAGGAAAACTTATCTCCTTGTGCAGCTGAGGGTACAGGTTCATACTGCCTCAGCCTATTGATTGCCTTGCAGCAGGCTACAGGATGGTTCTGCTCTGTATTTGCCTCCTCCTACCCTCTCTATTGAATTGACACTGACCCAGCTGTGAACCTGGCCAGGGGAGTTAACAGGCAGGAATTACCCTGCAAAAAGAGATTTTCTCCTGGTTTATCTCCTTTAGCTTCTTACAGCAGACTATTATGAGTGCCCATGTGAGAGCAAGGGAAAGTGAGTCCTCCTTTGAGAGTGCAGGTAGACCAATTTCACTGTAACATGAAACCCCACCCTAAGTCAGCTGTTTGCAGGTCTGCAGCTCAGGGTCCCTTCAGTTTCCCGAGTGCTTTGGAAATTCTATTATGTGTAAGTGGTTTAGGCTATAGAGCTGTGAAAAACATTTGAAATTAAACTTGGTTTTAGGCTTTTCTGAAAGCACTTAAGTACTGTGATGCAGGGTGTTTGGACATACAAGGCTGCCTTGCTAACAGAAGTGTTAGCAACTCCACAGCTATCTGTTGTTCTTCAGATAAAACAGAGGATCTGAGGCTCCAAAGTAAATATTGTTTATGAGGAATGTGTGAAAAACTCAGTGTTAACCTCATTTTTGGTGGAAGAACTAGTCATCCTGCAGCCTATGGCTATAGAGTATGCTGTGAACACTTCCCAGTTCAGGGAATTTGCCTATGATCTGCCATAAAGAGTGTTATAGAAGGTAACTTGCCATTTCTTTTATGGAAGCCATACAGTGTAGGAGTGGGGAGTGGCGTTGTCCTTTTAAACAGTAAAAGCTGCCATAACTTAGGTAGTTAAGACAATGCTTGTGTTGCCTAGCTTTTTTATTAGTTTTCCATTTAGCAAGGCAACTTTAACAACTTTAATTAGGTTGGAGAAAAAGTTTGACTAGTTAGGCAGAAATTATCATCCATGCCATTACAATCCTGCCAATTTCTCTCATCATTTTTATTTAAAAAAAAATAAATTATTTCTATCTATGTTGCCTTCCGCAAGCACTGTGAAACCTTGTGTAAGTGGGAAGTACTCTGCTCACTAATTTCAGGTGTCTGTTTTACCTGCAGGTAAACTGTGTGGTGATGCGAGGCTTGAATGAGGATGAACTGCTGGACTTTGTGGATTTCACAAAGGACCTGCCCCTTGATGTGCGGTTCATAGAATACATGCCCTTTGATGGTAAGTGCTCCTGCTTTGAGATTCTTCATGGTGTGGAGTGTGCCTTGGGCAGAGGTGAATCTGGTTGGTGGTTATTCACCCCATGGACTTGTCTCTGGAAGTTTTGTGAAGCTCTTTTGGGGAATTAGGAATTGCCAGAAGTTTTATCTTTTGCAGCTTATCTTCTTCCCTGAGCTGGAGAACAATTAGTAGCAGGATTAGTTGGGGCTGGGACACCTACAGGGAAAAATGAGATTTGTGGAGAATGTGAAGGTGGTTCTCTGCTAATTAAAAAAAAAAAAGCCACAGTCTAAAGTTACACTGATTTTGTTAATTCTAGGCAATAAGTGGAACTTCAAGAAGATGGTGAGCTACAAAGAAATGCTTGATACAATTAAACAGCGATGGCCTGAATTGGAGAGATTACCCTGTGAAACTTCCAGCACAGCCAAGGTGGAGTTGGACAAAGAACACATGAAACATGCCCCCATTCTTTCCCTGCCCCAGATCCCCAAATTCTCCCAAGTTCAGCGTTGATCTGGGGTTTTAGTCAGACTGCCTGCATGTGGTTTGACACTCAATAAATGCTAGTCATAGTTTTTACCTTTACAAATACAATGTGTTTCCTAGATGCCTTGGTCAGATATAAAGAATTGCCAGGCCTATATCCTGTATTTACACCTTTTGAAATTTTTGTCTGTCTATGACTGCACATTAACATGGCTGATGAAAGAGCTGTTCAGTGAAATAACGAATGCTTTAGAGTGTATAGTGTCACATGGATGATTTCTAGCTCATGGCTGCTGCCTGAGTGTTAGGCTGCCTACTGGCATCACCTGTTAGTTGATAACTACAAGTACAAACATTTAACAAGTTTGGAAATTTCCAGAAACAGGGCGGAATAGACTGGAACCCCTGATGAAATTGATTTTTTGTTTCTTTCATATGACTTTAGAACTGAAGAAAATCTGTATTAAAAATGTCTTCCAGTCTTTGGACAAGTGGAGCTTTAAAAATTAAGAATCTATATTTGATTCTTCTTTTTTTCTCCTCTTGATTTCTTTAGAGTTATAAGGTGCCACATTTCCAGGGACAAATCAGCTTTATCACCTCCATGTCAGAGCACTTCTGTGGATCCTGCAATCGGCTGAGGATAACAGCAGATGGGAACCTAAAAGTTGGTAGTGAAACAGGACTCTCTTTGCTTTCATGCAGTGAAAATAGTGTTGAAATGGATCCCATAAAAGTAGCTGGGATGTAAAGACACAGAATTATTACCAGCTAATTCCTGTTTATTTATCCTGTATATATTCTTGTTCCATGTTGTCAAGCTGTTAGGGAGATGTTACATCACTTTTTTTTGGTTTCTCTGTTTTGCTACCATAGTTAACTTCAGTTGTAAAACATGGTTGCAAGACCAGTAAATATAAACATTTATTCTAATCTTTGATTCAAAATCATCTTAAACATGTGACAAGCAGATGATTTCCCATTAAAAAAGGATCCAAGCAGCTGTGAGGGCTTGGCTTTTGCGTTCCACAAGGATCATGTCTTGTTTCCCAAACATCTTGCAACTCTTCTCCTTCAAGAGCAGCCTGTACATTTGCTCAACGATTGTAGAAAGGGGAGGATAACCATTTCCTGCCACGTTGAAACTGGCAGTTTCTGGGGGAAAATTAAAGTTTTCAATTAAAAATTGGCACTTATGTATTGTCACCTGATATTGACAACAGCTGTGCTGCTGCTGAATGTCAGATGACCGAGGCAGCCTGGAGGCCCAATGAGCTTAGGTTGCATAAACATCCCAGGCGGTCTGTGTGTGCACGTGAGGAGAGATAAAGAAAACAATCTCCATAAATGTTCTCTTCAATAGGGTACGCCTCTTCAAAGCTCTTGACTCTGAGGCTAGTACAAAATACTTGTAAAAGTAATTTGTTTTAATCTTTCTCATTTCTTGGCTTCTGTTTCCTTGGGTTGGCTGCAGGTGTGCCTTTTTGGGAATTCAGAAGTGTCCTTGAGGGATCACCTACGGTCTGGTGCCTCAGAGGAAGAGTTGGTTCAAATCATTGGAGCAGCAGTGGGCAGAAAAAAGAAACAGCATGCTGGTATGTTTGTTGTAACTGAGAAATAACAACAGTGACTAGGGAAAAAAATGTCCTGGTACTCATAACCTTCCATGGGAGTTAGAATCCAGACTGTCTAAAAGACTTTGACTTTTGTCCTCAAAATGATGCTCATGAAGACAACAGCAAAGTGTAAAGCTAAGTAGTTGTACTGGATCACTTTATTTCTTAAAATTAGTTTGCAGTAAAAGAAGTGCTAAAGCTAAATTGGGCTGTTGATCCAAGTATGCAGAAGTTTGTAGGCACTCATGTAGTACTCTGCAGAAGGTACACAAGGTCCATGATGATGCAGTCACATTCTCAGGCCATATTAGTCTTCTCTGAATTTATATTAGTATAAACAGTCACATCTTGAACCTAACTGTATTTTTGTAATCTGGCTGCAGCTGGGAATGCTGACCTCTTGTACATGAACTGGCTTTATCATCATGGATTAGTCCCCTTTACACTGAAAACATGCTTTGGCCCTTTTTTTTTCTTGCACATTCTGACAGATTAATAACAGTTGTTTTTCCCCTTTTTTCATAACGTGTAAAACAAATTTAAAGGTAGCCTTTAAATCTGAATGTCAACTAACTTGAAAAGTACATTGGTCTGATAAAATAGTGCCTTGTAAACACAAGGGAAGGGGTGGAGGGCTTGGTTCCTTTAGTTTTAGACCATTTATTTATGAATTTCTGATTTGGGAAAGCAGGGGTTGAGTGGGGAAGAGTGTATTAAGGGCATTTTGCCATCAGCAGCATTTACCTGACACTGTCTTCCAGTTTTTGTTAATCTTAGTGTTGTCCCTGGGACCTTCTGTGACTGAACTTCTTTGAACTGGAACACTTATTAGCAACTTCTCTGTTGAACTAGTACAGTCAAATACTATTGTTGAGAAACAAGATAGTCTCAAGTTCTTTGAATTCTATAGTAGGTAGACTGTAGTTCACATTATGGAAAGCTTTCTGGGAAAGGGTTCTACGGTGTGATAGACCCATAGCAGCTGGATGCCTGGAGACTCTGGCAACTATGGTTTTAAATAATACCAGACTAGATTCCCCTCTTCCAGTTCCCTTAGCTTCATTGAGCTTTGTTTTTCCTAGCATGCAGGTTGCACTGTGAAGAGTAGAAAACTAAATATGTAAACCAGATGCATGACTTAACAACTAAAAACCCAGGATTTTTATGTGTTCCTTATTTTATTTCTAGGCATGTTTAACATTTCCCAGATGAAAAACCGGCCAATGATCCTGATTGGTGGGTGACAAATCAGTACGTAAAAAACATACAATGATTTTGTTCGGTTTCTGTCTTTGGGGAAGCAGAATAGATTAGGCTTCTAAGTCTATCTTGTGTTTGATTCTGGCTTAGGTTTAGGCAAAGAAATGGGCTTCTTAAAAGGCAGTTGTGGTTAACGTGCTGAAGTGAGAGAGAAGGAAAGGTTTAATGTCCTTACCAAGCCTTATCCAGTCTTCTAATTGACAGCACTGGTTTTGTTTTCTCAAATTATGAAAGTTCGTTACATTTTCCAAAGGGATAATTAGCTTTCCTACATTATTTCCTATCATCTTCCTTTGTACTTCACAAGAATAGTATAGTAACTTATAAGACAGTTTGGGGTGAATTTTGACCATACTGCCACATAGATATAAAGGATGCAGGATGGACTTTTATCCCTCAATAAAGAAATTCAACTTTGATTATAATATAGAGCCAGCAACATGACAGAAGTGCAAGTGTTCCCGCCTCATTACTTCATTACTTCAGAATCTGAACTATGGGGCTTTGTTCTTTTGAAATTACCTCTTACTACTGTAAAGTCTCAAAATATAACCGTGAAACCCCTGTGGACCAAGAGCTTTTCTGCTCCTTCTTGTATCTCTTGAAGATGTTTGCTAACTCTCCCTTCTGCCTGAAGTTCTGTTTATGAGTGATGTAGCACTGCTGAGGTTCTCTTAGTGATTTTTTTATAACTCCTTCGGTGTGATTTTTACCTCCTCCATGCCTATGTTTCCCTGTTTGGTAAGATAGCTGTCTTCCTAAAGACCTTAAGAAATGGTTACAGGAGTTAGCGCTGTGAGATTAATTGCAAGATGTTCTGTTGTTCCTTATCAGTAAGGGGCAAAAAACCCAAAAGCAGCAAGGGTGGAAGAGATGAATATTATGTTTCAAATCCAAACTCTCATCCTCCCACTGATGTTTAGGAGTAGGTTAACTGCTGGGCAGCTTAAAACACAGGTTTTAAAAAAGTACCCTTGGGTACTTTTCTTCACTGGGAATATATTTCACTTGGTGCCTCCCTTTAAAGGGCCATCATTTTCCATGTTGAGTGATGCAAGATTGTCTCTGAGTTGGCTTTTGCTCTTTTGATTTGGCCACTGCTGCATTGTGTTCCAGGAAAATGGGAAGGAGAACGCTTTCTTTCAAGTGTTTGCTGCATTAGCAGAAAAATTCTGGTTTTCTTAAGATGAAAAATACTATATTATACTTTTGACAGCTCTCTGGGTCCTACATAATTTTTCAAGATGCCTTTAGAAGTTTTCCCACGCTCCAAAGTTAGCATTCATAGCAATGTTTGGATGTCTACAGATCAGATCGATCCCATTTCCTTCTGAAAAGTGCTTTAACATTGTCTGACATACACTGAAAGAGGCAGCCTGTCCAGGTCTTTCTCCCTCAACTGTTCCATATCCCTTAGAGACTGACTGCTGGCAGTCACCGCATCAATGAAGAGACTGGAGATGAGTGGAGAGTATCCCACTGTGACACATGGGGAATAATTAGGAGATTTCCTAATTGTGTTTTGAATTACTTACAAACTTCAAATAATACTGGCGTGCAAGCAGTCAGTGGGGGAGTGTGTAGATGGAATTAATTTAATGAAATTTAGTGAATGCTGTGGAAATCACTAATTGGTTTTGCTAGGCCCAGTAAGCCAAACCTGGCATCTTCCCTGCACTGCTGTTGTCTGATCCTTTGCTATATGGTTTGTATCCTATTTCCCTTAACCAAAATATTCCTTTTGGCAGGTTGCTCTCCTGATGGGTTTACTTCTGTTATGGGAATTTCCTCATTAATTTAAGTACCTCCTGCCTTCTTTTCTACCCCGGGATTGTGCTAGTTGGAAGCTAACAATTAAACTTCAGGTGCAGTAATAGAATATAAGGAGATGGAATTTGTCAGATGGTTTTGGTATAATGTTATATAGAAAACCATTATCTGTGTTTTTGTAGGTATGTGAGCAGTTTGGGTGAAAATAGACATGACTAGGTACAACTTCAAGAAGTGTAGGTTGTTAGAAAAAGTGAAGATGCTTTGCATGTATTACTGCCTATTGCCGTCTGTTTACTTATCACTCTCCTTGAGCAAACAGTGCTTCTCTTCCCTGCTCCAACCCACGTGTGCTTACCCTGTGGAAGGAAGTCCTTGTCTGCCTTTGCAGTTCAGCTTCTTCTGACGACAAGATGCCTTGCCAGCAGTTTAGCTTCAGCTTTAAAGTTAATCGGGGAATCCAGAAGTACTTTTCATTCAGAATTTTTAAGGGAATATTAAGGTTAGGTCCCACTATGAAGAGAAAGGGAAAGAAAGGAGCAATAAGCAAAATTTTCTGTGCTTTTCTAAAGCAGAGCAATGTTACACTCAGTCCATTTATGTCCATTTAATCCCATTACTCTGAAGGTAAATACATTACCTCCAAACTCACAGAAATCTTAATTTTAGTGGATAAGCCATCACCTGTAGAACAAAAAGGGCCTTTGTCTGAACTAAAATTATTGCAGTGATTAACAAAAAAAAATTAAATGAATGGCGGATTTAACCTTCAGAAATGGGTACTTTGACTATTTGGAGGGTACTCTGGATGAAAAAGTCCTAAGCACATTAGTCTTGTTTTGGCAGAGGTTAAAAAGAGATTGGTTGGTTTGTTCTTAAAAAAGGAGGGGGACAGGGGGAACAACCAGAACCTTATCCATGCTATGTCTGGCATGTGGACAGTCCAAGGCAATACCTGTAGGTCTGGGCAGCAGAGGTAGCTCAGCAATGTGCAGAGGGGTCAGGAAGCTATTTTGATGCACCTGTGGATAGGCTGAAAAGGGGGTCCCCAAATACCAGAGCTACCAAAGAAGGTTATTGAGCAAAATTCCTAATTCCGTGTTTCTCAGAACAGAGAGAGCAGGAGCTTCAGAAAAAGAGAAACATGCTTATCAATGAGGCTGTTTAAATGGAGTTTAGCCACTTACCTCTATACTGCTTTCTTTACTTCCAGAACATTTTATTCACTTTTATGTGAAAAAGACTCCTTCTGTCTTCACATTTGGCATTTAGCCCAGTACAAATGCCAAAACCAAGGGATTAAACGGTGAAAAGGGGCAGGAGGGCCTACTACCTCTCTGCCAGCTAGGAGCTCTGCCAGCTCAACTTGGAAAATACTTCTGAGTAGATTTAAAGTCTATCTGTCAATGAGGGGAGTATGGTTTTCCCAGTGCTTAAACTTCAGCTGTCATTAACGTGTTAAGAACTGGCAGCAATGAGAGGTTCCCGTCACCCTCTGAGCTTGTAGACAGTGCAGTTGCAGATGCAGTGCTTCTGGTCCCTGCTGTCCTGAAGTGCTGGCATGACCCTTCCCTGCAGAAGGAGATGAAAGGCGGAAGTGCAGCTGCCTGTGCTGGGAGGGAGGTGTTTGGAAAGGCAGAGTTGAGAAGCTGAATGTAAGAATTTCCTATTAATGCTGCCAGGCTTTCGAAAGAAGTCTGGTACTATGATGATCTCAAACGATGCTGTGACTCACTTTTCTTCAGAAGTGATGTTCCTATAAGGTTTCTGGGTGTTGTTTCTCAAAAGGTGTTAATACTTTTTGAAAGTAAATTGTTTCTTCTTGTCAGGGACCTTGAAATGAGTGTTTTGAGTCCTGAGGACTGTAGTAGCAAACTAGGAAATGCAGGAACTAACTGATGAGAGAGAAGAGAAAGACCTTGAGGAAAAAAGTAGATGTTTGCAGGCTTATTGAGGTTTTTACATTACAGGAAGTCCCAAGCAGTGCTCTGACAGGGTTCTCACAGACAGCTTAGCTTTCCAGTTAGTAAGATGTATTCTCATGTTACTTTTTGGTGTTTTTCCCCAGAGCCTGCAGTGACGTCATTCCCACTATGCCAAGATGCCCTACAGAATCCCTCAAATTCAAAACAGTGGGGCCACACATTTAGCCATTGGCTGACTTTGAGAGCAAGTTTACCCAAACAAAAGGGGAAAGCATTAATGAAAAATAAGCTTACAGGACAACTTTTCCTGCCAAGATCTCACCCAGAGCAACAGTGGCACATAACAACAGGAATTCTACAAACCCAGCTCAGAGGCTACTGTGTCTTCCAGAAGGACCCAAGCTCCACATGTGATACAAAGTGCCTTGACACTTCTCCTGTTGGCCAAGTTTCCGTGGACTGTCAGTCCAAAGAGGCAAGTTCAGCATCGGAATTCTATACCATGGATTTGGGATCTTGCACCAAGGTACCTCGTGCCTCTGACAACTTGACTCATACTGATGAGGAAGGACGGGCCACAATGGTTGATGTTGGAGGGAAGCCAGATTCCAGAAGAAGTGCTGTTGCTGGTGCTGTGGTCCTGCTGGGTGAGAAGGCATTTGGGATGGTGAGGCAAAACCAGGTGAAGAAAGGGGATGTGCTGGCAGTAGCCCAGATTGCAGGAATTCAGGGAGCCAAGCTGACCAGCCAGTTGATCCCGTTGTGTCACAACATCCCGCTCTACCATGTTGAGGTGTCTCTGAGCCTGGATGAGGCTAGATATGCAGTGGTGATTCGCAGCTCCTGTCAGACCTGGGGGAGGACAGGTGTGGAGATGGAAGCTCTGACAGCTGCCACCCTGGCTGCCCTGACGGTGTATGACATGTGCAAAGCAGTTACTCATGACATTGTCATCAAAGACGTGAAGTTGCTTAGTAAGACAGGTGGGCAGAGGGGAGACTTCTCAAGGGTCTAGGTAATATCCAGATACGTCCAGCCCTCCAAATGACCACTGCTCATGTTCAGCCTCTTACAGAACTACTTTTTCTCAGCTGGTAGGCTTGGAGACATCAGCAGGTGTACAGTACAGCAACCCCATGACTCCACCATTGCCTTACTCTGTCAGCTTACTGCTGGGTGACCAGTTAAGCCACTTATCCCAGTTAAAAACCATATGTGTTTTCTAGAGGACAAACTTCTCTACTCTGCAAATACCTCCATTTCAGTGTCCTCACAATGAGCTTGAGAAAAGATTTGCGGTTATACCACAGAGGTTTTTGGTTTGGGTTTTGGTGGTTTTTTTTTCCTTTGTGCTGTGAAATACTGACACCTGCTGTAATCACACCATGCAACTGTGAGCTCTGGAAATGAAGCAAGTGCTGATAGTGCTGTTATTTGGCAACTATTTTTAAGTCAAGGATTAAGATTTCAGAATTGTGCCTGTTCTCCTGACCTCCTTGGTTGAATTTAGAAGGTGGCAGTGAGAAGAACATAGCTGAGGAACCTCACCATACAGCAGAGATTATAACCATGGAACAGTCAGGGTCAGGTGGCAGCTCCCATCCCTTTGCATTGCTACTGCTTCCCTTCACAGAATCAAAAGATCTCAGAATGGCTAAGATTGGAAGGAGCCACAGTGGATCATCTGATCCAACCTCCCTGCTCAGGCAGGGTCATCCTAGAGCACATTGCACAGGACTGCATCCAGAATGCAGTATCTTCAGCAAGGAAGCTTCTACAACCTCTCTGGGCAATCTGTTCCAGTGCATGGTCACCTGCATAGTAAAGAAGTTCTTCTTCATAGTCAGGTGGAACTTCCTGTGCATCAGTTTCTCTCTGTTGCCACTTATTCTATTCAGCATCACCAAGAACAGCCTGGCTTCATCTTCTTGGCACTACCCCCTTCCAATACTTATAGACATTGATGAGATCCTCTCTGTTGCCTCTTCTGGAGGCTGAACAGACCCAGCCTTTCCTTTTAAGAGAGATACCTGGATGTGGGAAATATCCATGTATGAATTTCAAAAGAACAAAGAATATGGCAGCTGCCAGTTCTCTGCCTTGAACTCTCTGTAAAACATGATGCAGAAACAGGAATTCTAGGTTTGAAAGCATTATTTTGCTGATCTGAAAGACATGTTTTACAACATTAGAAGCATGTTCTGGCATTTTGTCCTTAGCACTGGAATACATTGATGCCCTGCATTTGCATGCTTAAGGGCTTAATTGTGTTATGCACAGAAGTAGGTATCAGCTCTCCCTGACTTTAGAAAGAGATGTCACACCAAACCCTAGAAGACTCCAAATTTTTTAATTCTACGGTGCAGTTCCTAGTAACCAGCAACCTGCATAGTCCTGACAGATAAAGCAAAGTTAATACTAGTAGCCACTTGAAAGAGTAAGGTAATTGCTTTTGCCTTGGCCGGAGTGTTTTCCTGCATGTTTCTCTGATTTGCTTTCATGAAGTCTTCTGGCCTTGGAGCACTTGAGTGTCCCCATAAATACAGCAGTGGCCACTGTCATGTAACATTAAACAGTTTTGATAATTGACTGTCCTAGATAAGAAATTACTCAACATTCTTGTTAATACTGATACATCCTTTTCAGATGTTAATTTAAGTGCTTTAAACAGGGTGTTACTAGTTTACTACTTCTTATGGGTTATGTGAAGTTGCATATGATTCGGGGTGCTTCCTCTCCATATGCACAGAGTTGAAGATAGCTCTAATAAGGTCAAAGACTCTACAAAAAAAGGGCATCTTAAGCTTTGCAAGTAGCTGCTTCTCATGAAATAAGGTTAAATTACTGTGAGCATTATTAAAGCACATACCACACTGCCACACCCATCGTGCTCACTTAAAGTAAGCACAGGTCTAAGATGAGGAGGCAATAGGTTTTACTACAAATCCTTTACAAATCTCATACACTAGCTACCACAAAAGGCATTTTTTCCATTGCAGGTGAATTAATTTGATTCTTCATTCATTTTCACTGGGAGATAAGGCACATACAGTGGCAGACATAGCAGCTATAGCTGAAAGGGAAAGGAGTCTGGAAAACTTGATGCCAAAATTCCATGAACATTTGTACACCTGCATTCAGTGTTACAGTCGTGAATCCCTTGATATCACTCTGCTTCTCAGGAGTGTACCTAGCACTGCCATACTGAGCACCAACAATTTCTCCCTGATCCTGCAAATACAAGAGACTGTGTTTATCTGTGGAATTGCTGTGCCGATAGCACAAAAGTTTCCTTAGCTCAGCATGGAAACAAATTGCCAGGAAAAGGAAGCATGTGTGTAACCTGTTAACTCATTTACACAAGCACTTACCTGCCCTCACCATACACAAAGCACCCAAACTTTCACCCAGTCTCTAGAAAATTTTGAAAGTGAAAAGGAAACTAGATGTACTCAGTAGTAATAAACTGATGCTTTAGGCACATGATTCTCTAGCTGCTGCTAAGTTTGCTGTCATGCTGTATAGCTCACACAAAGGACTCAGGACCATACAAGGGACTACTGAAGCACACACATGACCACCAAGCACATCTTGCTACTTACGCACATTTCACTACTTTGTTGGTTTGAGAGTGGCTGGAAGTGTAGGGCAAACTGACTTTGGTGCCATTTTATGCTCATGTTACATTATCAAGTCTTTAAACTATGCACATTTATAGGTAATGAACCAAGCATAAGTCAACAGAACATTTTGTGAGAGAAATGAGTTGAGAGCACTGTATGTTTCAGTGGTCCTGGGTGGGCCATGGTGTAATATATGTTGATGAACTGACTACTTTTCGGAGGCTTGCTTTTTTTTGTCCACTGTATTTTTAATAAATACTAGTTGTAATGGAGTATGTTTTGCATTACTTTGAATACCCTTTTTATTCAGTCAAGGGAACATCTATGTTTTAACCCACAAGCTTTTATGAACAGTTACCTTGGGACAAGCAACAAGACAGACTTTACAAGTTGCAATAACTAGTCAGCAATTAGCAAGGGATTGGTCACAATAACTTATTAATATAAAAAAATCTGGGTTTTTTGTTGCTGTTGAGTGAAACTCATCACAATCTGGCTGTTCTTAAACTGTGTAATCTTGTGGGTTTAGCATCATAATTTATCATCTCTTGTCATTATCCCAGCTTCTGCCACAAGCCTGTTCTGAGTCAGTGGCTGTGTGTAACAGCACTGCTTTTTGTTGCAGAGGAGCATAAGGAGCTGGTGCCTCCAGAGTTCTTCCTCTTAGTCTGAGTGACTGCACACTGAAACCAAGGTCTGGGGAAGTGCCTGTATAAAAGGCTGTTCCTCCTGTATCATGAATAAGTTTTAAGGGAAATTCCCCTTCTGAACCATCTGCTTCTGAACCATCAGCTTCCAAAAAAGCTCTCACGTCTCCTGCTACCAAGAAGGCATGTTCCTACCTGAGGAAGACCAGTCCATTGAGCTGTTCACAGTAACCACCCACAGGGCTCTGCAAGAAGGCAGAGATGGCAGCTGTACTCCCAAAGGGTCTCTTTTTCCAAGTACAGCCGTGGCACTTGGGGACGTGGTTTAGTAGTGGACTTGGCAGTATTAGGTTAATAGTTGGATTCGATGATCTTAGAGGTCCTTTCCAACCTAAGTGACTCTATGATTCCAAATGCTGCCAATCTTGAAATGAGAGCGCAAAGCTTTACATGGTTTTTCTAGGAGCTGCTTCCTAATTTGGAACCAGGTTTTTGAAGATTTATCCAGAAGGAACACAGTAAAGCACCAAGCCCACCACCTCCTCCTGAAGGGTGCCATAAGCGCACAAGTTGCACTTCTGTGCACATCAAACAAAACTCAAATGCAAATACTGCAGATCGTGGCAACCCTCACAGTGCACATGCAGTAGAGCTCTTACCTGCTAGAAACTCTCGCCCCAGCTCACACTCCATTTGTGTGTTACTGTCTCTTCACTGTGAATCCAGCCTGCGTCCTTTGAGGCAGCTCGGCCTATCTTTCCTTCATGGCGACTTCCTGATGCTACTTACCCCACCCTCAGATTGTCCTGTTAAAGATGGGATGCAACAGGGCTGGTCACTAAGAATTCTTAAAGAGATTAAAGCTATGTCAAAGAGAATAGTGCTTTCAGAAAGTGCTGAGAGAAGAAGAGTGGGGCATGGAGGGAAGACATGACTTGAAATACCTCAGGGAGGGACCTCTTCTTTTCTTCTGAATGGGAACCACTCAAAACTGCATTCTAAAAGCAACAACAGCTGAGCACTAAAAAGGGGAATGAATTTTTTTAGCTACTCTAAGCCACTGGTGACCTGCAATAACTCCTGTAAGTTGCTGACGTTACTCAGCTTTACGTGGGATTTGACTGAACAGAATCTGGCCCTTTGGTCTGCCCCTTCCTTGGCGCTTTGCTAGTTCTCAGCTCCTCACTTTGCTAGCTCTCAGCTCCTCCTTGCTGCCTCAGCAGCAGTCAGGCAGGCCTGTAACAGCTGAAAAATGGCTGCTGCATCGTGTGTGCTTTGGCCAAGACAGAACTGCTAATTAGTTAACTGGAAACACAGTTCCCTCCACTTACCAGAGCCTCACTCCAAGAAAAGCTTAGTGTTTCAGGGAACCTAAAATCAGTTGGAGGAGTCGCAGTGGGCTGACCAGGTTTTCAGTTTTTTGAGACTTCAAATTAAAGCCTCAACTTAGGTCTCAAAACCAGTAGATGTGAGGAGCACTGCAAAGTCATGACAATTGCAGGCAACCCCCTGACATGCATGGCATAGTCCCCAGGAAGGCACAGCATGGAGCATCTGAATCCTTTGTCACAGGCTAGGCCTGAGAAGGGCTTTGGGTGAACTCAGTGCACCCTGTCATAACAGCAGGGGCACAACAAGCTTAAACGGTACTAGCTGAGACACAAATCCAGCTGTCTCTACCTTTCCCTGTCCCTCCATGCTGGCAGTGCCATGTTTAGAAAACTTTCAGTTTAGCATCTCTATTTTTACACTTATCCTCTTTGCTCCTTTGGGGAGTAAAGGGTACCCAAAATAGTAGCAGTGAAGTGCAGCTGAGTGCAAGTTCACCAGAAGGCATGGGATGGATGCTCTGAGACACTGCTGAGCTTTGCTCAAAGTGGAGCAGCACAACCAACCAGCCATTGCTCAGCTCCGTGTGCGCAACCCAACTGGAATGGCATGGCCATGGCCATCAGGCAAGCTGCCTACTGTCCCTGGCTCTCCATCCATCTACGCAACAGTTACTCCATGGAGCAAAGCTCCACACTTCATGATTGGTTTGCTTCCAGAACCCCAGATTAGCAACAGAGACAATTGCTTCATCAATGACTCCATCAACAGAGAGGACATAATCTCAAATTCTGGAAAGTCTGCTCAAAATCAGAAACTCTCAGTACTACTAAACTCTTCCTGCATGAATTTAGTCTTTAAATGCAACAGAAGCACTCTTTTCTATACCCATGATACTTTCAGGGTGGGCAGCTGAAAGGATGCAAGGCCAGCAAAAGCAGTGTTTGCGTTTGCAAAGTCAAGGGCAGCTTGGCTGCAGTGTCAGAGGAGGTAGGGGAGGAAGAGGAGGAGACAGCAGGAGGTCTGGGCAACTGTAAAGCTCTATTAGTATTATGCTTGGAAAATAACACATGCTATCAGATGTATGCCGCTGCATTGGTAATGCCCTGGGCCAGTTACCTGCTGGTGCACGTTGTGGCAAAGCTCCGTCAACATCAGCAGAGCTGCACAGTGTCACACCAAGCAGAGACTGGGCCAGCACCATCTGCTGCTGGGGGCTGGCAGAGAGGGGTTTCAGCTGCTCAGTCTGACCTGAACTTAGGTTTCCTTATCAGGGTAATTTCGCGACTCAAGGGTCCCCATGTTCACGGTTCCAGCGAGGCTGGAATTGCTGTTGTTTGAGGCAGTGTGTGGAGCTACACCACCCATTCATCCCTCTCTCCCTTCATCCCCTCTCCAGCTGCCACCCACATTCTCCACACTTCAGAGAGCTGCACTTCCCCACCCTGTGCCTGAAACTGAATGGAAATGTTTTAGCTCTATGTGGCTCACTTGGCTTCTGCAGATCAACCCCTGGGGGCCATCCTCATCCCAGATCCAAGAAATGAGCTGAGGGAAGGGAATAATTTCTGCTGCCCCTGAAGCCTCATCTCTCCTATTGCAGCTGGCAGCTCAGAAGTCTCCATCCTGCCAAGACTGAATCTTATTTGAGATCAGTGGAAAAGACAAGCTGCTGCCAGGGCCGCCCTGATCCTGGGCTTGTAGAGAACACTGGCAGAGCTCACCCAGCCTCACATGAGATGGCCTTCACTAGGGTTTGCAAAAAATAAAATTCCCTCCGTGCTGTGGTATCAGTGGAAGCAGCAGGCTGAAGGCAAGGAGAGTAGATGGCTTAGCTAGGTAGTTTGCAGAGGAGTAGGCAAAACCACACCACGTGGAAAATCCTCCCATCCCTGCAGCCTGCTGGGAAGGGAAGCCACTAGCAAGGCTGAGGGGTAGCTGGAAATCCCCAGGCCCTGCAGTAAATTCAAATACTACAGCCAGCTCTGAACAAACATACAAAAAACTATCACAGTCTTGCCCAGAAATGCTCTTGCCAAGGGCTATAGGAAAAAGGACAAGGTAAGTTTGCCATCTTAGGAGAGAAAGATTAGAGCAAAACCTCTTCAAGCATCCCATCTGCATGTGGCACCAGGATGCTACACGATGCTTTTTCCAAGCCACAGATGCTGACTTCAAGCCCACTTGATTCAAAGACCCTGGCAGAGCTGACTCATACTTCTGTGATTAGGCACAGTCTAGCCATCCCTTTGGCTTTGAGGAGGCAACCAGAAGCAACACGGTCAACTCCTAATGCACCCAAGGTGGGTGCTCCTGACCCAATTTCCTTATGAACAGACTCCTGTCATCTCACCACTGTCTTGTCCCAGCAGTAGCAGCAGCAATGCACAGCAGGAGCAGAGCAAAGCAAGTAGCCATAAACCTGGGTGATTTTAACACCATTTGTTTCATCTTGCAGATTGAGGTGCATCTCCAAGTCCCTACATCAGAGCAAGGCCACAGTGGTAGGGTCTTGCTTGGACTGGGAGTTTAAGAGCTGCCCTTGCTGACTCAGGGTAACAGAGTTACCAGCAGCTTATGCAACAGATGCCATGTCAGAGCTGCTGGACCTGAGCAGTGAAAACAGGCTCTTGCTTTGGTAAAACATCTTTAATGGGATTTTCCAGCCAGCAAACACGCTTTGAGGGACACACCCAGGACATTCAGCCATCAGCAATACAACTGCATGCAGAAGGCTCTTGGCCAGCCAGACTGGGAGGGGTATTTAAACACAAGTTTCTTGCCTTCGTCTTTATAGCCTGCTATTTCTCTCCCAGCTCACTAAGGATGCCTCAGAGCACATCCTTCTGGGATGTCCCAGATGCAGCAGAGGCACAGCCAGTAACAGCCCATCACCGGTAAACCATAGCTTTTGCAGACCTGTGCCAGAGAACTCTAGCTGAACCCCAGCAGCTGGAGGGGTTTTCATTTCCACTTCTCCAAAGCTGGTATTTCAAGGTGTTTTTATTTCTTTCTAATCAATGCAGATGGCCAGCTCCAGAGGGGGCTGAATGAGGAGAGGGAGGCAGTGCAGCCACTGTTTCTGTACAAAGTATTTCCACATGCATGTGAAACAAGGCTCGACTCACTTGGTGCGTGTTTTGCAGTGCGGTTACGGGCTGTCGTTCCGCCTCCACAAAGCTGTTATTTATTTACTTAAAGACTTGCATTCCATGGAAAAAGATGCCCCAAGATAGCACTGTGTTTCTAAAATTAAACCCAGCTGGATGGAGTGGGGAGCAAGCAAGTGAGCACTC